CAGCCAGGATGCATGGCTGGCAAATACCTTGGGTAAGAGCTAGGCTTATGTGATCTAGAGATATTCTTTACATATTTAGCACCCACAGGTCTCTGTTACCTAAATGGAGCTCCAAGCCATGTAAGGTTTTTAAATCATAAATGGAACTTAGAACTAAGTATAGAAATTGACTTAATGGCCTTTGTGATCTCTTCCAACCCTGTGATCCTATAATTCGATTGACTAGATGGAAGCAGAATGATATAAGAAATTGCCACTGTCATCTAATAAATTAAATACTTTCATTTTTTTTTAAAAAAAGTTAAGGTTTTTAGGAAGGACAGGATAAACTCAAAGGCAAATTAAGTTTGCCCAGATAGCTCTGGTGGTCTTCTTCTTTTTTTTCTTTTCTTTTCTTTTTCTTTTTTTTTTTTGGAACAATGCTTTTTCCTATGCTACTTGGTTTTCAGAAATGTTCTTCATATTGAGAGGAACTCCATCGCATTATTCAGTTTTACATATAGAAGTCTATAAATGCCAAACCATAAGAAATAAACATCAAAATAGCACTGACATGTTGCTAAAAGGCATGAAGCTAAAGTATCTAAGAGTATAGTGAACTGACCAAAAATCTGTTAATGGAAAAGAATAACCAAGGACGAAATTATGGAGATTAATGCAACAGCCCCAGTTATGTTTTTCCCCAAGTTAAATTCATAAATATTGATTCCCCCTCCCAGCATATAGCCTAGCTTTTGAAGAGTGCATGGTGAAAAATCAGTGACCTTAAAATTGTCATATTAACATATTGTGGGAAAATGTAATTATATAATAAAAGGTCACAAGATGAAATTCCCAATGTAATTGCAATATACAATCTCAAAATCCAGACGGAAGGTCTGCGCAGGTAATAATATCCCAGAAATTTCTTGCAGTGGTAAGAGAACTGCCACTGGTTATTATTTTCTCTTTTAAAGAGATAGTTTTGAAAGCATCTCAGCTATATAGTCAAAACTGCAGAAGGAGGTTTGACCTTTTGTTTAATAACACATTTCTTTTAAAATTGCAGGCTATTGTACAGGAAATGATAAAAAGCCAACCTTCAAAATCTCATGACTGTGTTGTTTTATTCAGACAAATATCCCTATACATGAAACATCTCACTGGATTTTTCCCAAGGTAGAGTGACATAAAAGTCAAGAGTTGCAAAAATCAAATGTGCCCTACATTTAGAAATAATCCATACCTGTGGTTTTCTAGAATAAAAAGCAGTAGTTCAACCTTGTCAGCAAATACATGAGCACAGCTGTGAAAAGGACTAAGCTCAAAATGTTAATAGTAGGGTTCTCAGATTGTCAGACCTGGGGTGCATCTACACAGTAGAATTAATGTAGTTTGATACCACTTTAACCACCATGGCTCAATGCAATGGAATTATGGTAGTTTTAGACTTATAAAGTCTTTAGATATTTGCACTATTCCTTGCCCAGCCCTTTTATAGCTTGGTTATGCCCATTTTAGAAATCTTGATGATTGTTTTTGTTGAACCTAGTCTGATGGAGCTCCAATGTAATCTGTTCTACCTAGCAGTAACCTGACAACCTAGCAGTTGAAAAACATGCATGTGTGAGTAGATAAATAGGCACGGTTTAGAAAAGGCAAAGAAACACTGCAAACAATCTTGCCGGCCACATGACCTGGAGTTGACAATGCCGGCTCCTCAGCTTGAAAATGGAGAAAAGCACCTCCCCAGAGCCAGAAGCTGGAAATGAAAGGAGAAGCCTTTGCCTTTGTGTTGTTGTAGGTTTTTTCGGGCTATGGTCATATAGCCCAAAAAAACCCTACAACTACCCAGTGATTCCAGCCATGAAAGCCTTTGACAATACAGCTTTTGCCTTTGTTTGTGTGTCCCATTGTATATGATGGTAAAGGCATTGAATGTTTGCCTATGGATGTAAATGCTGTAATCCGCTCTGAGTCCCCTAGGAGAGAAGGGCAGAATATAAATAAAGTGTATTATTGGGTTGTTGTAGGTTTTTTGGGCTATATGGTAATGTTCTAGAAGCATTCTCTCCTGATGTTTCGCCTGCATCTATGGCATGCATCCTCAGAGGTTGTGAGGTCTGAGGATGCCTGGCATAGATGCAGGCGAAACATCAGGAGAGAATGCTTCTAGAACATGGCCATATAGCCCGAAAAACCTACAACAGCCCAGTGTTTCCAGCCATGGAAGCCTTCGACAATGTGTTGTTGTTGTTGTTATTCTGTTTTGTTATGACTTGTTTGTTTTATTTTATGATGTTCCTATTTTAATATGTTTTGTTTTATGGATTGTTTTTGCTTTTATGTTTTGTGGACTTCTGTCCCACATATAAGCCACCCTGAATCCCTTTGGGGAAATGGTGACAGGATATAATAATAAAGTAGTAGTAGTAGTAGTAGTAGTAGTAGTAGTAGTTGGAAGCCTTTTTGTCAAAGGGTACATCTCCCTCACTCACTACAATTCCTATGACTCCATGGCATTGAACCATGGCAGCTAAAGTGATATCAAACTGTATTAATTCTACAGCATAGATGCAGCCCTGGACTTTCTTCTCCAATTTGCAAGGCAGGAAAGAATCTCAGTGAAAGAGTAGTATATTGAAATGTTTATTTCATTCCTTCAGCATGGGAAGCTACATTAGATTTGCCACCTTCTGAGTTTGTATTCTTGTGAGCCACTTGGGGTGGGAACTGTACAAAGGAGCCACTGTGGTACAGTAGTTAAGACTTTTGAACCATGGTTGAGGAAACCTCTTTCCATATAAAGTGAAATAGCCACTTGCCAGTGGTAAGCTCAGGTTCATCTCTCTCTAGTGACAACGGTTATTGGATAACTTTGGTACAACCTATTTCTGTCTTATCCTATAGAGGTTTTGAAAATGAAATGAGATGGAGGAGAACTATCTATGGAGCCTTGCGAAGAACAGTAGGATATTAATGTAATATTTTGTGGGTTTTTTAAAAAAGTCATTAAATGGGGCTCCACAGATTGCATTTGGTCATCATTAGCTATGCAGACAGACATGGCATGCTGAGCACACATCTGGCATCTAGTTAAGATGCAGGACCCACACAGGGAAGCAGCCATGAGAAGATGCTTCACAGCTGTCTCTGTGTCAGTTTTGCTGCATTTCCTTTCTTAGTTTTGGCTTTCTTTGCAATAAGAGAGGGAGATTCCAGTGCCACACATAATGCTGGGTACAGGCATCACCTCCTTTAAAATGGTTGTCAATTAGCTATCCTTTCCCAGAAGAAGGGGTGGTTATGACTGGTTTTTTTGTATTGCTGCATTTTGCTATTAGTAAAGTGGTTCTTACCACCACTTTAATGGAGGCCACCATGAGTATTTAGTTAATCCTTTCCACATACACGAGTGTGTGATAGGAATGTACAATGCAGTTAAGATGATTAGTTGCCTTTTAGTACCATAAAGTTAATGGAACTAAATTGACTTAAACCCAAGTACTTTGGCTTAAGTGGTTTATGATTTGAACAGTGTGTATATTAAAGCATCGATTCACCCATTGTAAAATGGTTCTAATCCATTTGAAGTGTTATATGATTTCTTTTGCAATTCAGCCTCAAGAACATTCACAGTCTATTCAGAGTGCAAGGGAAAGAATAGAAAATGAAGCAAAGAAAACGATCAACTAAAGACAAAAGTGGAAATTTAAGATAGGTGGAGGAAGAAGAAAAAGTGAATGCAAGATTCACATTGCAGAACTATGGCTCAATTTAGTTCCATGTGTTGTTTAACCTGTTGATAGTGGTCAAAGAAAGGCTATCTAGGTTTTATGTTAGTCTCTCAGAAAAGATTTTTAAAAGGCAATGGGAGAGGAAAGTCCTCAAATTAGAGAGGCATTCCTGTATAAATTTCAACAAAGAAAAATTGAAATCTCCTTATGAAAAGAAGGAGCCCTGGCTCATTGTCAGGACATAAGGTTTTCACAGAAACGGTTTCAAGTTTACATACCAGCTTGTAGAAACGCGATAATGACCAGGCGGGAAGCAGGCGTAGAAGTGAATGATGATGACCTCTTTATTGTTCCCTAAGCAAAGCTTATATAGGTTTTTGTGCTCTTTAGCAAAGTCTGCATAGCAACAGTGGGGGATTACATAATTGTCAAGTGATTGGTTGGACTCTCAAGGGTGAGGTAATCTGCAGGTAAGGTCAGCAACAGGTGATGTCATCCTTCCTGTCTTCAAGGGTAGTGTCCATACATGGTCAGTTGGTTAGGAACAGTGTATGCATCTGGGGAGGGCGGCCTGCCTCCAGTCCCAGGTCATGATGCCCTGTATACTTAGCCAGAATGGTGTGGAGCATAAGTGTCAGGGGTCTGGAATTTCTCATGCGCGTCCAGACTAGAATGGCTTGCCAGTAAAAGCCCAGAGGCGCATTGTCACTTCAATGGGACATAATAATGTCATCACTCCTTCACCAGCTTTTTCATATGAGGCTGAAAAAGATGCTTGTTGCAAACCATGGAGAGCTTCTACCAGTCAGTACTAAACTAGATGATCCAGTCATTTGACTTTGTGTAAGATTCCTGAATCTTTGCCTTGGTGTAAGCCTGATTCCTGAATGTTTAACTGCCTAGATTCCATGCTTGTCATCTCATTAAAAGGATCAGAGAAGAGATTATGAGAATGGCCTTTGCACTTTTGTCAGAGAAATAAAATGGTACTATCTGCTTTAAAACTACTACCTAATGCCCCTGTTAATGAGAAGGAAAGAAGTTAAGACTTGTTGAAAGGATGAGTTTGGCAGAAAAAAATATATATAAAAGAGCCAGGGAGGCAGAATATTGGCCGCGTGGTTTTTATAGACTCATTTACAGGCAGTGAAAAGCAGATTCAATTTTTTATGTATATGTTCCTCCCTCAAAATTGATTTCATTTTGCAGAGTGTTCTTTGTGCTCTCTGTTTTTTTTTCTGTCTCAGAACACTAATTCAAGGTATGCAATATGTTTGTTTTCAGACATCAACATGGCAGGAGAACCAAAACCATACAGACCTAAGCCAGGAAACAAGCGGCCACTTTCAGCTCTATACAGGTAGGCTGATCTGCACATTACTATACTCAGGAACAGCCTCTGTGAACTTGGGGACACATTCCCTATGACAGGTGAATGAATGCAATTCACTTACTTGAGTATATTTCTGACAAGAAACCTCTTTTCCAGCCATGTCAAGGAAAAAAATAGTTTCAGATCTATCACCCAGTTTATTAGGTGCTGCAGCTGACCTCAGTTGAGGATCTTCATCCTGACTTCCATTCATTCTGGAATGAACATGTCTGGAACATGATCTTACCTAGAATCAATATGTTTTGATTTATTGTGAAAGCAAAAAAAGAAAAGCCTCTCACTAAAAATCAAGATGACTAAACTGAGACTATTATACTTTGGACATACCATGAGAAGGCAAGACTCATTACAAAAAAGTAGAAAACAGTAGGAAAAGAAGAAGATTGTATCACAGGTGGATACAATTAAGATACAATTAAGAAAGTCACCACCTTGAGTTTGCAAGACTTGAGCTGCTGTTGATAAGCAAGGTGACTGTAAGGTATCTCCTTCCTAGAAATACCATGCATCCACAGTGACTTGATGACAATTAACAACAGAAAAAAACAAATAGAATTTGTAAAACTGGGTATAAGACTCCCACTGCATCATCCTAGTCTCAGAACCATTTGTTCTTGTTCTTGGTACAATTGTCCTCAGTGTAGCTTTTCTAATTTTAAACTCTTGCTAATAGTCTCTCTCTTCACTAAGGAAAGAGTTGGTAACTTAGAAATATCTCTCTTTTCAGTAAGGCAAGAGATGTGTTGGATTACCCAAGGGTTTCTCATCCCTGTAAGAGGCTATAGTTATTAGTGTTATAAAGGAATAAATAGCCTTAAATCAGGTGTTCCACATACTTTCATATGAATGGGACTGATTAATAAACTGATTTTTAGTGCCACCCTTTTTTAGTTTGGAAAAGTACGAAGGTACTCAAACAAGAAATTGCAGTGCAACCTCAGATGTCCATGGATGAGGTCAACTATCTAGATCAGGGGTCCTCAAATTAAGGCCCAAGGGCTGGATATGGCCCTCCAAGGCCATTTACCTGGCCCTCGCTCAGGGTCAACCTTAGTCTGAAACGACTTGAAAGCACACAACAATCCTATCACATCAGCCAAAACAGGCCCACACTTCTCACTGAAATACTAATAAGTTTATATTTGTTAAAATTGTTCTTCATTTTAATTATTGTATTGTTTTAAAGTATTTTTGCACTACAAATAAGATATGTGCAGTGTGCATAAGAATTCATTCATTTTTTTTTCAAATTATAATCCGACCCTCCTACTGTTTGAGTGACTGTGACCTGGCCCTCTGTTTAAAAAGTTTGAAGACCCCTGATCTAGATCCATGTCAGTCTGGTTTCCAGTGTGGTCTGTTAAATGAGGCCCTTGATCAATTTGGTAGTGGATTTATTCCAAGGAACGATGCAGCTCACTAATCCTCCTCTACCTATTTGCACAATTACCTCACTTATGGAATTCACTCCCCGGGGAAATTAGATCAGCAACATCCCTCTTTTTCCTTTAGAAGAAAATTAAAAACATGGATTTGGGGCCAGGCGTTTGGACAATCTGGCAGATAAATAAAGGACTACGATGACAGATAGGAATAGACAGAGTGGAATGAAGTATGGACTCTGAGTTGGCGAACGCTGAGCATGAGATTGTTTTATTTATTGTGATATATATATTGATTGTTTTAATTGTTTTAATTGTTATAACTGTTTAATTGCTGTTTTTATACGTTTTTGTATTATTGTGTAGGCATCGAATTGTGCCTGTTTGTAAGCCGCCCTGAGTCCTCCCTCGGGGGTTGAGAAGGGTGGGGTAGAAGTACACGAAATAATAATAGTAAATAAATAATAATTAAACATTCCACCCATTAGCCATTATTACTATGACTAAGTTACTGTTAATTTGTACACTCTTCTGAATACGATCTTGGTCTAACCCTTTCTCTATCCTTCAAATATGAGGGTATTCCAGGAAAAAGGGAATCATAAATTGTTGTTTGTTTGTGGTCTTCTAAATCAATTTATGGCAATCCTATCTTAGGCTTTGCTCTTCCACCAGTAAAATCACGAGACAACATCATGGTGTGGGTTAATTATATGCAACTTTTATTATATGCTGCCAATCAATTTCTGTATGATCTACCAACCAAATTTAAGGATTTAAACATAAACTTGAACTTGTACATGAACTTGAACTTGCTATGTCATAACGTGAGGCAGTGGCAAGACAAAGGCAAGACACCACAGCCCCTGGATGCAACCTACATGTTGCTCCCAAGGAGACCCATAAGGTAAACGGGTGGAGGATTCAGCTTCGATCTCCTCCTATGGTGCACACTGATAGATGCCTGTACCTATTACACATTTGAAGCCTATTTAGGACCTCCTTTCCCAATTTGCTATGGATTAATAGTGTAGGGTAAGTGAAAAACACTCCCAGAACCTAAGGGGGGAGAAATTCCTACCCGGCCACAGTGGTGACCCTTATGAAGTACACTGTAGAGGAGGCGGGTGGGTCGGTCAGCATCACCAAGAGAGTGAAGTGGGTGGGGAGCACGCTCCGGCTGACCCTGCCCATAACAAGTCTCAGACAGGACTTCTTTGCCTCTCTCTTCACTCGAAAGGAGCAAAGCGCTTCCCCACCCTCATGCTGAGGACAGGAAAGGAATTTCCTGGCAAAATTTGGAAGAAGTTTGCTATTTCCTTCCTCTGGAGCTCAGAAATTGTGACTTGCCCAAGGTCATCCAGTGAATTTCAATGTCTGAATGAAAATTTGAAACCCTAGTTTCCTGAAGTTCTAGTACAGCACTTAAGCCATGGTATCACATTGCCTCCTACATCATAAATACGAGGTGCATTTTGTCAGCAGAGTAACACCACATTGTTAGTTGCTTGCAAAGATTAGCAAGGTTTTAAAGGATAAGAATGAAAAAAACTCTATCTTACAGATTTCTAAGAGAAGCAGCCTTCTTTTGTTTCTGATTACAAATGGTACTAACTAGCTGTTTGCATTAATACTGTCAACACCATTTTGCTAAGCTGGATCTGATGGGCTCATTACAGTTTGTCGATGTGTAATGACTTTGGCACAATTCCTTTGATGCAGGGTATAAAAAGGTCATCTGGCATCAGATCATTATTGATACTGTTAGAAGAGCAGTACTTAAAGATGACAGTTGGGCATATATTTCCCCACACCATCACTGTTGATCTCAGTGCTCAGTGCTTTATCCGTATTGATCTGATTCAGTAAAAGGCATCAAGTAAGCAAATCTGTTGTTTTCTCCCAAACAGCTGCCAAATGTTATATTCTTCAAGTGCAAAAGTTCAGACCGCAAAATAAAATAAGGCACGCCAGGGTGAAACGTTGGTCACAACTATGCTTTCTTTCTAAAATACTCATACATATATTTGAAAAGCTAGATGGCCAAAAGAAGGGCAAATTATGAGACTAAATTGGTACAGGGTGAAAGAAATAAGGACATTGTGCTCATAGGAATTTTGGGAGTCCCCAGTGGCTCAATGGGTTAAACCCTTGTGCCAGCAGGATTGCTGCCTGACAGGTTAGCAGTTCAAATCCCGAGAGAGTGGGTTGAGCTCCCTCTGTCAGCTCCAGCTCTCCATGCAGGGATATGAGAGAAGCCTACAACAAGGATGCAAAAAAAATTAAACATCCAGATGTCCCCTGGGCAATGTTCTTGCAGATGGCCAATTCTCTCACAACAGAAGTGACAAGTCACTTGTGACTTAGGGAAAAAAGCCCCATGAAATATTCCTTCAATCCCTATAGCATTGCAGAAAGTAAGACACAGAAAGCCATTCACACTTGGAGCTGTTTTATTTGCTGTGTCTGCATTCCCTTGGTAATGTTGGTGTACTCCCTGTCTTGAGATGCCCCAAATTGTTAAGTTTCTGCATTGCTAAAAATTTGGAAACAAGCAGTGCTAGTTTGTTCTTTATCTGTGAAGTTGCAGTTTTTCAATAATGTTAATTTGCGAAATAATTGACCTAATAGTCAATTAGAAGTATATTACAGTATACACACTTTTCCTAGCCACAGTAGTCTATGTGGATTAAAATGCAATACCATTCTTCATGAGGAATCAGCCTGAACAATTTTGGTGGCTGATTTGTAGTCCAATAACATACGTACATGTATACAAAAATATTCCTGCCTAGGCAGTGTTGCAATTTTAACACCTTTATTTTAGCTTTATTACATCGAGTTACTCATTTAAATAGAAATCCATTGGAAGGGCAATAGATAATTGCTTTCCTCTATTGCCTGAAACACTTTAAAGTAATTTACTGTATCACCACAAATCACCTAAAACCATTTAGTCAAATACAGTGAGAGAGGGTCAAATTCAGGGCAGTCGTATTTTCAGCAAATTGAATCTCAGTTCTTGAGAATGGATTTCAAACAGGTTTTTAATTGCAATGCTTTATCCACAGGCCATCACACACACACAACTTTTTCCCCCTTGGAGAAGCAGATATCCAATTATATCTTGTATCAGAATATTGATGTCTTACCTCTTCTCTTGGTTATAAAACTTTAAAACTCTCAGCTTGCTTCTCTTAGACTCCATTATGGATAGAAATATTAATTTTGTCTTTTATTTGTTTCCTCCATTTCCTTTGGTACAATCAAATATAGACCTCCCCTCCCATTTTATAGCAACCCTCCGATGAGGTTTTAGCCTGTTTCAATTTTTTTTAAAGTCTGACTCACTGAGTTTCATGACTGCGGAAAGTTGAGTCTGAGTTTGTCCTGTCAGAAGTCTAATATCTACTTACAAATCTCAATCTTTTGGGTACATGTATGTACGGTATTGAATTTCGCCTTTATAATGTGGGAAACCACTTTAAGTTCCCTTAGGGCAGTGTTTCTCAACCTGTGGGTTGGGACCCCTGGCAAGGGGAGATTGCAAGGGGGTGTTAGAGGGGCTACCAAAGACCATCAGAAAACACAGTATTTTTAGTTGCTCATGGGGGTTCTATGTGAGAGGTTTGGCCCAATTCTCTCATTGGTGGAGTTCAGAATGCTCTTTGATTGTAGGTGAACTATAAATCCCAACAACTACAATTCCCAAATGTCAAGGTTTATTTTCCCCAAACTCCACCAGTGTTCACATTTGGTCATATTGAGTATTCGTGCCAAGTTTGGTCCAGATCCATCATTGTTCGAGTCCACAGTGCTCTCTGAATGTAGGTGAACTACAACTCCAAAACTCAAGGCCAGTGCCCACTAAACCCTTCCAGCATTTTCTGTTAGTCATGGGAGTTCTGTGTGCCCAGTTTGGTTCAATTCCATTATTGGTTTAGTTCAGAATGCTCTTTGATAGGTGAACTATAATCCCAGCAACTACAATTTCCAAATGATAAAATCAACCCCATCCCCCAATCCCATCAGTATTCAAATTTAGGTGTATTGGATATTTGTGCCAAATTTGGTCTAGTGAATGAAATACATTCTGCATATCAGATACTTACATTACAATTCACAACAGTAGCAAAATTACAGTTATGAAGTAGCAACTAATATAATTTTATGGTTGGGGGTCACCACAACATGAGGAACTATATTAAGAGGTCATGGCATCAGGAAGGTTGAGAACCACTGCCTTAGGGGAAGAAAAGTGATATATAAATGTAATAAATAAATAAATAAATAAATATTAAATCAGTTCAATAATAAACAAGGTTTTCTGCTTGGGAGAGTTCTTGCTTTTTGGCAACAGTTTGGACAGGCCTTGTGTTTCCTGGTTGTCCTAGCAACATTAGAAATATTTTTAAAGTATACACAAATTATCTCAATCTCGACAAGAAAGAGTATATGACTGTGGAAAAAATGGTCAAATCTCTCTGTGACCTACACTGGCATCTAATTGACGGTTTTTTCGGGGTGAGGAGTAATTAGTTGCCATATTACCTTGTTGTAACAAAAATAAGAAATATTTTCATATTTAAGGTACTATAACCTGTCATAGACTATATCCAAAAGGTTCTACACTTTGTTGGAAGTGGAAGATTATTATATATGCTGCTCCATTCACTTTCCAAACCACCTAAGTGTGTACATAATTTCCAATGAGATAGACTGCAATCAAATGTGCACATTGTGCAGTGTTTTTAAATGCATAAACAATGTCAATGTTATTTATATTGCAGACTTGAATCAAAGGAGCCTTTCCTGTCTGTTGGGTAAGAACCTTTTCTTTAGAAAAGTACTTCTCACTGGCTACTTAGTTCTCTTCACAACGTTTTTGTCAACAGTTTGGGATTTTATTTCTAGACTTTCATTTTTGCATACTTTATGCTGGGAGTTTATGTATATGCATGAAGCACTTAAATTGAACATTATTCTCAAATTATATTCAGCTGTATGTAAATTCTATTTTCAATTATTTGTTTGCTAAATGTGTCGGTCCTATCATAGAGCAGTTCTAGTTCATTTATCAGTCACTTGTTTGCATTGCCTGCAGTGTAAAAAAAAATTAATGCTGGCCAGATGTTTTCTTAAATTTATTGGAAATGAAAAGTATTCTACCCTCTTACAATGTCATTAACTTTCATTAACCATAAACATGTCAGATGCATCTTCTAGCTTTTTATTTCCCATTCTGTGGACTTAAAACATTAACATGGATATATCCTTCATAATGAAAGAAGTCAATAGAGCATGGGATCATTTTCTCTTCTCTTGGTTGGTTGTATTATTGTCTACTTTGTCTATTTCCCTGTCTTCATTCTACATCTCTTGCCTAAAGCTATTTTGTGTTCGTTTTTTCACAGAGTTGAGGAAAATAACATTTTTAAATGACTACTCCCAGTCTCTGTGATTTGTAGTCCCCCATAAAATTAACTTACACACACACACACGCACGCACACACACACACACAAAACATAAGCATATATATGTACACTACCCTTTTGATCAAGCCTTTTTTTTTCCGGTGTGCAAGTATCAACTCAAATAACAAGCCCCGAACATTTGTCCTACCCTCCCATTGCTTGTTCTATGGTTCAACTCTTGCTGGTGGTAGTTGCCTCTTTAATTTCAATGGAGAACGAAAAGAATTGTCTTCTTTATATAGAGAGACCAGGGATGGGAACTGTGTGGTCTTTAAGATGTTATTGGATAGCAATTCCTGTGATTCATCACTGTTAGCTATAGTGATTATTGCTGATAAGAGTCCAGTCCAGAAAAAGCTGAAAGCTCACAGGTTGCTTTTTGCTTTTGTTGTTGTTTTCATTGTTGTTGTGTGCCTTTTGGTATTGTTTCCAATTCATGGTGGCTCCAAAGTAGATTTATCACAGTAAGATTTATTAGAAGAGGTTTGCCGTTGCTTTTATCTTAAGCTGAGGGAGTGTGATTTACTCAGATTTTCTGTCTCAGCAGAGATTCAAATAAAGGTCTTCTGGAGTTCTAGTTGAAAGTCCCAACCACTATCCTATGCTGGCGTGCAGATTGCTTAGCCCTGAATGATAAAAGCCCACACATTTATGGTCTCTACCGTAGCAACTCCAGACATTATGCTTGGCCATAATGGCTTATTTGCTTAACCTGTTACAGCTGTGCATATCACTTAGATATATTCTATCCACCCATGTCATATCATTATGAGAAATACAAGCATCCATGCAGACATAATCTCAGATTGCCTTGTGATAAATCACTGCGGTCAGACGTAGTCTGTAATTATAGTTTCTACCAGTTTACACAAGATAGGTTTGTTCTCCATTACCCTGGATACTAATTTCATTCTGTCACATAGCAAAACATAAAAACAGCAAAGTAAGTGAAAGAAATTTATATGATGGAGCAAATCTTAGATCATTTTTAAATTTTAGACTGCCAAATTCCTGTAAAACAAGAATATCTTTAAAAAATAGTTTTTATGATCCTCAGTTTGGAGGTGGCCTACTAGCAACCAGGTGAGTTATGGAGGTGTATCCACACTACACCATTATAGCACTTGAATGCCACTTCAATTGTTATGGTTCCATTCTATGGAATCTTGAGATTCGGTGTCTCTTGCTAAGATTTTTTTATTCTATAGGGCAGAGAATTAAACCAGATCTCTCTAGCAGGAAAATCTCAGTCACCTTTTTATAAAATTATGTTGAATTATCGAGCAAAAGGTACTATTATATTAAATGATTTCATGCTAAGAGACTGACTTTTTAAAAAAATAATAGACAATTTTACTAAAAGGCTGCAACATGCAAGGAGTTTTTTTTCTGTATCTGGAGAACAGGACAACAGTCTCAGATGTATGAATCACTCTATCAATTCATTAGATCAGAAATTGTGAGAGATGCTCTTCCATTGATACATTTCACAGATCTTCACGAGAGATCATGAACAGTACAAGAATGAGAAGATTTTAATTTGGGGTGATGGCTCAGAGGGGATGCTACTGAAGTTCTTTCTTATGTAACTTTCCAATGTTATCCCACCCCCATGACATCTTCCATCTCTATTCATTGGGAGAAGGAGGCAGAAAGATTATGCAGCTGCAACTTATCTTTAGATTACTATCTCTAGAAACTGTCTGTTTAGAACAGTGGTTCCCAACCTGTAGTCCATGGACCACCAGTGGTCCGCAAGAACTAAAATATAGTTTGTCGCCTCATTGTTACTACATTGTTACAATGAGAGTGACTGGTCTCGCAAAACCCTTTTATAGTGCTATGGCTTTTTAAAGATGGTTTTCTGTGGGTGAGCAGATGGCGACTACTGGATGGCATATGTTCTATATCAGGAACTAGAGCTGATATGGTCTATTCAATGCAATTTTCTGAATCAGCACCCCCAAATAACCAAATCAAATCTAAAGTTGATCAAGAACGGATTCGTAACCTTTTTGGTACTAATGTTGGAGAGTGGTCCCTGGTGAAGTCATCCCTGGTTAAAAAACCACTGATTTTGAAGCACTCAAAGGATGTCATTTTTGCATTGGTTTTCTGTAGGATGAATGCTTGCAGGTGGCTGTGCATTGTGTAATAGTTGGTCGAATCTGCCATGTATTGAGGGCCTTCCCTGCTTAGCCATGAAACTGTACCAGGTATTGATCCTTGCATTCTGGAATCACCCCACACTTTCAAGATAATTAGGAGGCGTGTAATGAAGGAGGTGTCCTCAGAAATCTGACTAGACATAGTCTGAACTGGCCTTGGCAAAAGCACCACTGTACTAATAGAATAGGTCTCATCTACAAATCATCTTCTGAGCAACAGATGCTTTCAATATACTACAGTGGGTTTTCAGTGGAAAGGCTGAGCCAAGGATACTAAAACATTCATATTTGGTTGGAAATATAAGAAGTCTGCAATTAAGAACAGAGGTGGAGTGGGAGTTTTTATATACGCATTTTAGCTGCTGACGAAGACATCAAAATAGCTGAATAATAATGGTTTTTTAAAAAGCATTAACAGATAGACAGGAAAATAAATGAAAAGTATGTAAAATATAAATTAAAAATGTTGTTTCTGTCTCCATTGTCTTGCTTTTCTTTCTTTAGTACCAGGTATTAAAGTAGATGTCGAATACAGGCTTAGGTCTTTCTGCTTTTTTTAATGAGTCTTAAAATACTGTGAAATATTTTCAATCTAAAGTTAATTTTGTAAAACGTAGAATTTTTGTTTTTATTCCTCCTAACAATACATACATTTGATTGATAGTTTCTGTTCAGTTTATAAACTCCTTTTCTTAATTATATGCTGATTAGCTTTACTCTTATATTTTATTAGTACTGGTTAATCCGACATCTTTGTTCTGTATAGCTTAATATATACATTTTAATAGTGTATTATATTTTACAAGGTCATGCTGGCTACGTGACCTTGGAGATGTCTATGGACAATGCTGGCTCTTCGAGTTAGAAATGGAGATGAGCACCACCCCCCAGAGTCAGACTTGACTAGACTTAATGTCAAGGGAAAACCGTTCCCTTTCCCTTTACTTATACGTTACCCATGTGTTTTAACCATGTTGTACCCTGGCCCCGAGCTGTGAGGAGAGGCAAGTAACAAATAACAATTATCATTATCTTAATGATCATGATCATGATCATCATCATCATCATCATCAGAGTATTTTGTTTTTGAAGACTTAAAGCAGGGCGTTCATGTTTAGCTGTTGCTTGCAGTAAACACTTAGACATGTTCGGAAAGCAAAATGGAGTTAATATTAAAAAAAACCTATATAACATATGAACAATAATGTTCATTTTTGGTATACCAAATAATTGCTTTTATAAATGTTATTTTCAAAACATCTATAGTCTCAAAAATGTTATTTAAGCATTTAAACAGATATTTGGGGAGAAGTTTTTATTTGGAGAGAGGTTCTCATGCATCCTTGATGTTTGAAGGACGAGTGAGTGGTATGCATTTTGTTTAGGGTCGTTGGCATGGAAAGAAGAAAAGAGATGGAGCAGGTCAGTTGGAAAACCTAGTGGCACATGACATCAGCAACCATTCTGTAGTACAGCCTTTCCCAATCCAACACTATTAATCTCTATCCTTCTCCCACTTTATACCTAAAGTTACGCTTAACCAAACACACCTACAGTAAGTATCTTTAATCATTAACATGTGGTTCCTGTCTCTTCTAGGAAAACACTTCATATATAATGTTCACAAAATCTGCCACAAAAACAGGCATCTTCAACTAATTGAAAATATTTTAAAATAAAAGAATTCCTTGGTTGTGACAATCTAATAAAGGGAGCTTTTACTGTCTACAGAGCAGATTAGGGTTTTATTTTTAAATCCACATGGGGGAAATAATTCCATGGCATGTTTGCAATTTAATTAATATAATCATTCTCCCTTTTTATTATTTTGTAAAAGGGCTATTACAAGAGTCATTATTACTAATGAAAGCCTCTAATTTATTTTGCTCCGTGTTTTGGCTGAATCAAAATTATTTAAGCATTTTGAAGTTTTAGTTAATTCATAGAACCATGGAATCATAGAGTTGGAAGAGACTTTGTGGGCTAGCTAGTCCAACCTCCTGCCAAGAAGCAGGAAAATCACATCCAAAGCACCCCCAAAAGATGGCCATCCAGCCTCTGTTTAAAAGTCCCCAAAGACGGAGCCTCCACCACACTCCAGGGCAGAGAGTTCCATTGCTGAACAACTCTCACAGTTAAAACATTTTAACTGAGAGAGCTTATGTGACCTTAATGAGCAA